TTTTCTTCTTTTCTGCGCTTTAACAGTGAGCAACACGTGGTCAGTCATTTATTATGCACTTTATATGATAATCCATTAAGTATCTCAACAATTGTTCATGTGCATGCTACAAATCAGCAGTTACAAAGCAGAGATGGATCATCCTGTCTTAGAAAGGCAGTCTCAGTGCTGGGTACAGATAAAATTAACTGCTCTCTCGAAGAAATTTAAGGATGATAATCAATGTAAAGGTTATTGCATGAACCATGCCACTCAGAACTATAGATATTTTTCTTTTGGGTTGTTTTAGAGTATTTTTCTAATATGACTAAAGAGTGTAGGCCTGATCTTGTTTTTATTATTCTCTCTATTCAAGCAGACAAATCTATTGCTCATAAAGTCTGACAAACTGAGATGGGAACTACTTACTCCCTCCTGAGCTCCATGAACATCATCATAAAGGGCATCATATTTTTTAATATATACATAACCTTTTCTGTATGCAGTACAACTTCTTCCACTTCAGGTAGTGCCACTGCAGTTTTATTAAAACAGAACTCTGGGGGAATATTTGAGAAAGACAGAAGTTTCATTTCAGGCAGGCATGCAGGATTGCACCCTTGTAAGAAATGAAAAAGCTTGAAAGAAACTTTCCAAAACTGCAGGAATGAGAGCCCTGGGATCTCAGCCCAGCTTCCAGCCTTGGCCAGGCAAAAGGGTTTGGTTTTGTTTGTTCTCCTGTTGACTCTGGGAATCCTTCCTCTCTCCCTGCAGTCACCAGGCTTCAGTGGGAGGAATGAGAAACAGGAGGTGGGGGCTTGAACCCAAACAGGCTGAAGAAAGCAATTCCCGAGCGTACGCTGTAACCCCTTATGTGCTAATACGGAGAATCATTTTCACCAGATACATTTTTGAAGAGAATCACGAGTGAGTTCAGTGGCGTCTGCAAGTGCATGAGGTGTGTTTGTGGGGCCGGCCCTTTCAGACCTGCAGTGCCTTGATGTGCCTGTCTCTGAATCTCACAGCAAAGGTTAAACAAGTCACACACATGGATGCCAATGCCACGGTGGCTGCTTGGGTTTAGACCTAACATAGGAACATTTGGTGCAAAAGACAGTGATTTTAGGTCTGCTAAAAGGACTACATCATGCTGGAAAACTGGTGTTCAAAATCACTCTGAGATCCAGGAGTGATTTATCTTGCCTACAACCAGTTAGCTCCAATCACTTGACTGAAATCCATCTTAATTACCATTCCCAGGTTTTATAAACAATCTTTTTTTAGTCCTAAAACTTATTCAATGAACAGCCAGCCATGGCTTTACATGTACTTCTTTTCTTTCTAATAATTTTTTCTCCCTTGTTTTAATAGATAACCTCATTTTCTTCTTAGAGACTCTATAAAGATTTTTTTTATTTGTTTAATTCCATTTTACAGTACTCAGAGGGATTGGCGTTCAGCAGTAGATAAACAGATTATTTTATTATTGTTTACTTCCAAAACTGATTGAATATAAATTCCTTGTCATTACCTTTCAAAAGCTTGTTTATAGTACTCTTACAGTTTTCAAAGGATAGTCCCATTTTTCCCTATTTCCTGTAATTCATATTCTTCTGACCTGCACTTTTATTCAACAAAAATGAGATACCCTCTTAAAAATGCAAAATCAAAGAGAGTAAATCCAAAGAGGACACTCATCATTCAAAAAAAGATAAATTACTCCTCAACCATTCAGTTGTCTGAGGATAACTTCTGCTGTACACCCACACACTCCCTTGAGCCCCTGCATAGGATTGTTTAGGTGTTTTCATTAGGGGATAAATAAAATCAGAGCGCAACCTTTATAGGAACCATTTAAGTGGCATCAGAGGGAAAATATGACCATAATAAAGGAAATGCAGTTCCCCTGGAATGGTATTATCACTTGGTTTCTCTCTACACATATAATAGCAACAGCCCTGCATAACTTTAAAATGTGGGTATGGTAAACACAACATCCAGAAAGTTACATATCAGCATTTCCCACATTAGCTGCAATTTGAGGCAATACCTGGATGAGGAAAGAAATATGTCATCCCAGTTGTACTGTGTGCTGCTTTAGCATAAGAACACCATTACCTGCCATCATCAGTCCACAGCTCCCAGTATATTAAGGCCATCACTAACACAACTTCTTTTGAAATTCTGAAAGCTTTGATTTTTTTTTGTAATTAAACTGTCTCTGTATATTTAGGCAGGTATTTTAAAGTGCACTGGTGCATTTGGCGAGTCAGTGACATATTTGTCAATGATAAGCATCAAGCCTTGTCTTGTGAGTGGGTGCCTTCCTCAGTGTCACGGGTTTAAGACATGCTCATAGTGAAAAAATGCTATATTTCAGGTCTAAGCATTTGCTAAAAATAGCCTTCCAACTGCAAATGGGTGTAGTCTCACCTACATTTATCCACCAGATACCCTAAGATGGCAATAGAGTGTTGAACAGTTTATGAAAGACGTGAATTACCTCCATTCATCCCAGTGGCTCTCTGAATCCTACCAAATTCCCAGTGTCCCTGCTTCAGTGCTTCAAAAGCAGCTCAGTCAGGGGAATGCGTGGCAACATGCCTGTCCCCTCAGCTGACGGCCAAACAGCCACAAGTTAAAACTACAGGTGCAAATTGATGGCCTTCTCTTAAGCAGGTTACAAGCTCAGACTGACCCATCTATAAATAATTTAGAGGGCATAATTTAATCTGTGCAATGGATTTAGTGTGTTTCCCTCGCACTCAATGAGACCATATATATCTTATTACTCAGTATATTCAGATATCACTGAATAAAGCCCTCCAATTTTTCATCATAGAAGCATAGGAAAGCACCTTTGTTCAGGAAAAATAAATAAGCAAAACCTTTAACAACATACTGAGAAATAAGTATACAATACTTAAAATTAAGCAGGTGCTGAACTGTTTGCCCGAGTCATGGGACACCCTGCTTGGAAGCAGTCCCTGATTTGCTTATATCTGAAGTGTAATAGTGCCGGGAGTTAATCTATCTGGGAACTTATTGAGCACTGACCTACAATTTACAGGATGCTCTTCCACACCAGCTCCCTTTGTGGACACTTTCAACATGCAGTTTGTGTAAGATAGCTTACCACTTTTGTGTATTTTTAAACTTCCTCGTTCAAAATAGCTTCCCTTTGTAGACGAACATTTAATCTTATCACTAAATACTATTTTCTTCATCTTGCAGAAGACTTCTTCCCTCCAAATGCTGAGTATGCTTGGACTCCTAATGAGAGGGGGAAAAAATAGATCATCTGGTTATAGTGTTTGAATGAATTGAGCTCATTGTGCCAGAAATATTTTAAATTCTCATAAAAGTCCTGGAAGTGAAGCACTTGAGCTGAAAAACAATAAGCAAAACCACAACTGGAGGGGAAAAAATGAAAGAACCTACAAATATGTAGGGCATGGAGGAGCAAACTATTACGTTTTCCTGTTAATTGGCAATACCTTTAGATACAGCTGCATTTTAAAAATGGATGAATTTGCTATGCTGGGATCTCTGTTACAGAACTCACCAGTGTGTGACACTGGGCTCCAAAGGTGCTTTCCCAGATTTATGTGGAAAAGTACTTAGGAGGAAAAGTATTTCTTGTTGAATCTAGTGTTTTAATACCAGATATCTACTACCTTGTCTTCACATTATTTTGTCAAAGCTGCTTGATATAATCCAAAGTGGCAGAATTGTTCAGTGTTTTAGAGAATGACTTTTTTTTAATAGAAGTAAAACAAATACCATGTTATTTCATTTGTATCCTCTCTTCTGCTTATTGCCTGATCTCAATCCCACTGAAATCACTGAGATTTCTGATATTGAATAAAACCAGAACAGGAGCATGCCTGTCATCAATTTCCATTACTCTCCAGAAGTTGGTTTATCTGTGTGGTAGAGCAGAGATAGATGCATAAGCACTCCTAGTTATTTGCCCTTTCCAATCCTGGAGATTTAAGCACAGCTTGCTTAAATTGGGGTGTGTTTTGTCTCCTGCCTAATCAGCCCCTCTGTTTGGCAGGGTTAGGTAGTCCATGGTGAGGTAGACCACTGAAATTGTACATCTTAACTTCAGATGTTATGAACATGTCCTTAAAACCATCTGCTTTGGTTTGTCATTTGGGTAGAACTGATGGAGAAATTAGGCCTTAATGGAGACCCCCAAGAGGTTGTTTTTTATGTTATCCCTTTCTATCTGGTAGCCCTGGTATTCATTCTGAACTACAAAGTGGACTTTCATATCTGAAATTCTTTTAAAATAAAAGGCCTATATCTTTGACTTGAAGCAGAAGTACATAATTTTTGACTAAAAGAAGTCATCTTCTCCTTGGTTTGATACGATCACCTGGGAGACAATATAAAATGGATATAGAAATCCTCAAAATCAGCTACAAAAAACCAAAAGGTGTTTGTAAGCAATTCTCCTGATTCAACTGAAACTTAATATTTGGAAATAAAAGCATCTTATTTCAGTGACCTTTCTCAGAGGTACTTCATTTTACTTTTTTCAGGATTCACTGGCATCCAGTCACTGGCATCACTGATGTAATGCCCCCACATTTTTTTTCCAGCTTAATCTATTGGGTCAAATGGTGAAGTGATGAAAAATCTGTCTTCTTCTGCCATCCTTCAAAGCGGGAGTAGCTATGAGCCTGAGATCAGGGGCTGGAATAGCTTTTTTGGCCCCATACAAAAATAATGAGGTTGATGAGACCAAGGCAAGAGGAAGCTCAGGAAACATGTCCCATTCTCACCTTGCACAGACAAGTTCCACTGCTGGCCACAGGTGGAAGAGGCAGACTTTAATTTCTTTCTTTTCTTATGAATATCCGTATCTTGCCCAGTCTTAAACTGACAGTAGCAGAGAACTCTCATTTCAACCAGGAAAGCAGAATGTTAGTTCATATATTTTTTTAATTGCTTAATAATTGTGTAATTATTGGCTCGAGCACTGTTGTACTTAGACACACTGTCTTTTCTAGGTAACATTTCGGACAAGAATCTACCACTGTAATATTAACAGCCAAGGTGTCATCTGCCTGGACATTTTAAAAGACAACTGGAGCCCAGCATTAACCATTTCTAAAGTTCTCCTCTCCATCTGCTCCCTCCTCACAGACTGCAACCCGGGTAAGATGAATTAACTTTCATGTTTGTGTTCATTCTCAGTTCAAATTCAGTCAGCTACTAGGACTTGGTCCATGTGCTGTTTTACTGCTACCTGCTCAAAAAAGACAAATATGTACATTCCAAATGCCATTTATTTAAATTAAGGCATAGTATAGGAAGCAAGCACAATTTTAGGAGCTCAAATTAATTTTTAGTACTTCAGAATAAAAATCTTCTATTTCAAAAAGTTTAATCAATAGAAAATACCTTGTAGTAGGCACTAATTTGGATATTACATCCAGGATATTAGTAGCAAGAAATATTAATGTGTTAATAAATATTGAAAAGATAGGCTTTCATTTAAATATGCTGATAATATGGTCCCTGAAAAGAATATTAATAGTACTGACAATAATAGATGTCTAGCACAGACTCTACAAATAATGAAAATTAATTTAAATGAGGTTTATTCAATATACTGGACAGCCAGTATGAGCATTCAAAGCAAGCTGTCATTAACTAGCAGAGCACTTAACCTCTTCCCTCAGCTGTTGTAGATTTGTTTTCTGCCATTGACCACTAGATCTGTAATTTCCACTTTCTCTTACCTTATTTACCAATGAATGATTCTGACTGTAGACTTGGAAAATCGTAATATATAGAAATTATTAAAAAATCATTAAAGAAAAATTAAGTGATCTATTTACATATCATGAGGGTTGTTGCTGGTATTGCACACTTCAATATTTTATTCTAATTGGCCATCTAGTTTTTAAACCTGTTTTTAAACTTTTCTCCCCAAAGGGCTAAAAACTGCTTTGCAAAGGGCAGAATGAGATTCTTGTGTATTTAAGCACTATGTCAAAAGCTGTGACAGAAGACTGAATAATTTCAAAGCTCAAAATAAGGTGAAAGGGGGCAAAAATGCAATTGACTGGTTTTATTTTCATATGGGTTTGTTACTGTATATAGCGTTAAAACCCATGGCATTCCTTCCAGCTAAGAGATGGAGGGGTGGTGGAGCCCCATGTTACCGTTTCAGGTACATTTATTTCAGGTGTGCTGGATGCTCTCTGCTTATGTCTCTGAAAGATTGACTTCTGCTGGTGTCTACCCCAAAATATGCAGAGGTGCCTGCAGGAAGTCAGGTCGATCGGTGGCAGAAGTGTAAAGCAAAGCAAATTAGTATTTGTTCATGTGTCTTAGAGACCAGGTAAAGAGCTGCAAATGCTGCAAAGCTGTGATGGGACTGAGAAACTGGCAGTAAGTATGTGCTCGTTTGTGGTCACCTCTCTTTGGAAGGATACAGTAAACTTGAAAAACAGACACTTTCCAGTAGTGATTTGAAATTTAGAAATTTACTACCTCTGCCATCTCGATCTTTTTCTTTGCCTTTGACTAATTTACCAATGCTGTCAAGCACCAGTTTTAGCTGACCAAGTGTGAAAGACAAACACTGAAAGCAGTTACAAATAATATATTTTTGTATGCAACAAGTTATACTAAAAATGGGAGGTTATTCTTCCCTTCAGTTTTTCAGTTAGTAGCCATAAGCATTGTCAAGACCATAGTAAATAAAACATTTTTATGGCATTTCATTTTCAGATCTTCTCTTTAATTACTATGTATTTTGGGATTTTATTATTGCTTCATTTTTAAATTTTTCTGTGATTTTTTTGAGGAATGAATGCAATTCTTAATTTGTATTGTGAATTCCCCTCTTACAAGAAGTTGATGGCAGGTAGCTGGGAACTGCTGAGTCACTTTTGCCTTCCTTTGAGATTGTCTGTTTCTTTTTATATTGAAAAGTGAACTTTGCATGTTAGTGATGTACAACAGAAGGCTTGCAAAAACTTCACAAGTTCTTACTTTTCATCATATTGCCTAATATGCTACAGCTTGTTCTGGTTGTACTGCCTGTCCCATTATTTTTAAACGACATTTTATCATTAACAAATTGTTGGTTCCATGCCATCCAAATTGAACATGATAGATGGATGGATGGATAGATAGATACATATCACTGAGATACATCACACAGATATATACATATATATATACATATATATATATGCACAGAAACATACATTTATGTATTTTCTTCTCTGTCAGCTGGGAATAATTTTCTAATCCCTTGGCCCTCTCTTCATCTAACTAGTCTGCCCCTTTCTAGAGGCAGAAATCCAACAGGGATCTCAATTTGATAAGCAACTTCGAACTCTTTGTTCACCATTCATCAGCCAGAAGCAGATCAGGTCAAATGGAAAGGCAACACTGAATCGCCCACAAACATAAACACTTGGGATGGGCAAGTTTTCCACCCCCAGCCTCTCTGAAGGGAAAAATCAAGTATCAGTTACTCTCTAGTCTTACATTTATGCAAATCTTCATTAGAACAACAAATAGCAGCAAGAATGGCAGCTAATTAACCCTCAGTCATACACAGTGATTAAGCGGAGCTGAAGCACAGCTGCAGCTTCATTGGCAAGCCCTGCTATTCTTCTACGGCAGGCTGAGCAATTGAAAAGAGGTATTTGCTCCTGCCGCTCCTGTCATTCACACAGTAATCTACAAAAGCCATGGAGAGAGTCTCTTTCCTCACCGGTTATACATCACCGCCTTTTGTTCCCTATCACTCCAGGCAGGAGCGAGTTTGTCCATTTTAAACAACTAATACAATCCTTTACTCATAAGCTGTCTCAGACCCTTCAGTCCTGATTATTATTAATTGTCTCTATTTTGCTTGGCAGAATCAGCCAGTAAACTGTGTTAATGAAATGTCTGAATTTTGTAACAGCTGGCTGACTTTCTTCATGAGGGGAAGGGGTGCGCTAGGGTTTGTGTATGAGTGAACATGTGTGAATTATCTGGGAGTACGAGAGCCAACTGGAATGGTATCAGAGAGATGGGACAGATGATGGGATGCACTAGCATTCAATCCAGGGTTTTGTATTCTTCTTTAAGGTGATACTATAGGGTGCAGCACACATCTCTTTTTACACAGCAGGGCCCCAGTCCTGTAAATATTTTGGCATGTGCATAAGCAACCCTAAAAAACCTGATAGACGCATCCACCTGCATGAAACCAAGTATCACAGAATCACAGAATCACAGAACGTTAGGGATTGGAAGGGACCTCAAAAGATCATCTAGTCCAATCCCCCTGCCGGAGCAGGAACACCTAGATGAGGTTGCACAGGAAGGCGTCCAGGCGGGTTTTGAATGTCTCCAGAGAAGGAGACTCCACAACCTCTCTGGGCAGCCTGTTCCAGTGCTCTGTCACCCTCACTGAGAAGAAGTTTCTTCTCAAATTTAAGTGGAACCTCCTGTGTTCCAGCTTGTGCCCATTACCCCTTGTCCTATCATTGTTTGTCACCGAGAAGAGCCTGGCTCCATCCTCGTGACACTCACCCTTTAAATATTTATAAACATGAATGAAGTCTCCCCTCAGTCTCCTCTTCTGCAAACTAAAGAGACCCAGCTCCCTCAGCCGCTCCTCATAAGGGAGATGCTCCACTCCCTTAATCATCTTTGTAGCCCTACGCTGGACTCTCTCCAGCAGTTCCCTGTCCTTCTTGAACTGAGGGGCCCAGGAAGTGCTTATAGTCTCTGTGCTTAAGCACAGATATTTACTTCCAGCTGCTAGGGCTCGCCTGTGTGGGCAGTTAGTTACTCCAGAGTAACTCCATGTGTCGACACACCCCTCTTTGAAAATGTATTTCAAGTCATGAAAAAACTGTCTTACTTGGAGTAAAAGTCAACTGTATGTTAAGTATTCAAGCAGAGCCCAGGGAGTATAAATTCCCACACTGCCTTAATCCAGAAGAGCTTTCAAGTGTGGATAGTCCCTGAGGTTTTGTATTTATGTTGAGCTTCAAGTATAAAAACAGATTAATTATTTTTATATTTAGAGAGCTGCTGATGCTGATCTGGGTTGAAATGCTTACTATTCTCAGTTGGTCATTGCCATCTCAGCCCTGCCAAAGGTTTTCAAGCCCCAGGAAAATTCTCGTTTGCAAATGCTTCAGAGAAAATAAATTGAAACATCGACGAGACTGCGCTGCCACTTTTTCTTCGCCTGGCCTCCTTTTTCACACGTTCAAAGTCTGAACTTGGCTGGCCTGATTATCCCCGATGTCTGAACAGTCTAACGTCGAATCGTGTCTGCTTAGTAACACACAGCTAAGCCTTGATTAGAACAAAGCCTGCTACATCTCCCTCACGCCAGCCTCTTCACTTCTGGTGTCATCCTCCGCCTCTAGCTCCTTACCATTTTTCCCACACACAACTTCCACAGCCAGTGGGGATTTTATCTCTCGGTTGTACCATTGACGTTCCTGAACTGAATGCTTTGGCACTGCTCTTGTTCCCTGTGAGGCAGGCCATGCCCACTGTGTGCTTCTACGATGTAGATGTGCATGGTGCTGCAGACAGAGGATGAGAGAGGCAGCCTGAGCTGGGGAGCAGCCATACCATTTGCACAAAAATGTGCCCCGTTATGCGGAACACTTGGCTGGCTGCTGTAACCAAAAACCTGCTATGGGGCTTTACAGACCCACACTTGCTTTACTTTTTAGAAACCACTGCCTGATTTCTAGCCTGAACTGACACACAGGAATTTGATACCCACTTGCTTTTAAGCAACTCATATCCTATAGCTTAAGTGACAGTTTTCCTGTTTTCCATTCCTGATGTATTAATGAAGAACCATCCCCTTTTCTCCTGGTCTTTATTTGCTGCACACCAACCAGACCTGTGTCTGTCAGCCTCCTTCTGTAAGAGAGGCTTTCCGTTCCCGGGCCCATCATCGCAGGCCCCTCTTGACCCTCCATGCACTGCAGTTATCCTTCCTCAACGTGCCTGGCTCCTGTGGAGTTCATCAGAGCACGAGGCATGGCTAGGCAAACTAACCCACTCCTCATCACGATCACCCAGGTTGAAATATTTACAGCTCCTCATTGGATGTCCCTATCTCACTGGCACCTCTGTCAAAGGTTATTCCATTATTAGCCCTGTCATTT